TAACTAAATTACCTTGGATTTTCTTCAGAAAATGATTTAAAATTAAATTTAGCAGTCTAAGGGATGTGTATTAAAAGCAGCATGCTTTAGTTTATATTAAATTTCTTATTTTCACTTTTTCACATGATGTTTAAATATAATACAAAAAGTCTGAAGTCTAAAAAAATAAAGTGAAAATGTTCTTATAGAATTTAGATGCATATTTTAAAGCATGTTAAAATTTAAATTGTGGTTTTGAAAAAGCTTTATCTTTTGAAGCACACTGACAAATGACTCATCAATACTGTTTTCATATCTAGTGATAACAGTTCATGTGCAAGCTCATACTAGCTTACTGACGCTTATGACAAACCAGGTACTTTCTGCATTACCTGCATCAGATGAGACAATTCTGGGAACTACACACAAAGTTTACCCCTGACTGACAGATAAAAACCTGAGGATCACAGAATGGAAAAGCATTCCAAATTCACAGAGCTGTAAGATTGAAGCCAAATTTCAACTTATGGTCACTCAGCCATTATACTTTGTCTCTACATGAAAAGTGGCCAGTTACCTGTGGCCTCAGTAGACAACTTAAAACAGAATAATGAAAGAAGGATGGAAGAACAAGTGAATGAATGAACAGATATGTGCATGGACTCAATCATCTTTACCAAAGTGAAGATAAATCTCTTATTTTCTTCTTCTAATTTTTAAGGAATTAAAATAGCTTTGCAGTCCAGTTTTCTAGGGTCATCCATTTTATTTGGTCAGAGCAAGCAATAAGAACTAATTTTTGTAATGAAATAGTCCTTAAGGCTGTTGGTGGTATGAAATAGTTAACTTTGGACTTGGGATCTGGCTTCCTGGTTCTCTCTCTCTTTAGGTTTGTGACCTCAGGCAACTAATAGTCTTTCTGTGATGTAAGTTCCTCATCTTGAAGGATAAGAACTACCAATAATAAAGCCGTGGTGGGGTTCACACGGGAGAGGCAGAAAACAGGACACAGAGTAGATGCTCACAGAACACTAGTCCCAACTAAGTACACTTGCAGGATACAATCAAAACATAAACCAACTGCAGCTGAATGAATAAGGGAGTTAAGTTATAAAAAGATTGCTTCGGTTTTCTGAGTCACAGACTTCATGTTCCACAACAGACTTTCAAGACACTGCATTCAACTCTCTTTTGTAGGCTGTTCATGTTCAGCTACTTCTCAAGGTTTTTCTCCTAATCCCTCAAAATTCTCATAAAATCTGCGCAACTCTGAGAATTAGGAGGACCTTACAATCAGGAATCAGGAAATCATATTTCTCCCTCTCTGATCGCTTCTCCCCCATTACAGACCTGAACTGACATATCTTGTTGGCAAATCTGAAAGGATACAGTCTAGCAGTGCTAGACAGAAATATAACACAAACCACAAATGTAAACTAATGTGAAAATTTTGATTCTCTAGTAGTCATAAGAAACTTGCTAAGCAAGTGAAATTTAATATTTTATATGGTGTATTCAAAAGATTATCATTTCATAACATGTAATCAATATAAAAGAGGATTTAATGATATTTCTTTAAAAAAGAAAGGATTTCTTTTTTGTACTAGGCCTTTGCAATCTAGTATGTGTTTCAGGTTTGGAGCATATCTTAATCTACACTAGTCTCATTTCATGGGTTTGACAGTCATACATAAGTAGTTGCTACCACACTGAGTAGTGTGAGTCTAGAGATTATGAATTAGCTACCATCACATTCCAAATAAAACATGATAAGCAGGGGGAAAAGGTCATTAAAATCATGTAGCTAATGGAGAACTGAGTTTAAAAAGCTGGCTTTCTGTATACTTCAAAAACAGTAATTTATATAAAATATATAAATGCCCCTCTTTTTCCATATTTTAGACTTAGATTCTCCTAAGAATAATGAAGTTGTAGGAACATCTTTTCCTGGTACCACCTGAGCATTCTGTAGACATTTTATCATAAGTACAAGTTGACCCTTACACAATGTGGGAATTAAGGATGCCTATATGCTCATGTGCGTGTGTGTGCACAACACACACACACATCCTTTGGAACTCTGCGTATAACTTTACAGACCAGTCGTGGCATCTGATGCTCTGTATCTGCAGACCCAACCAACCCGCAGACTGTGTAGTACTGTGGTATTTATTGAAAAACATTCGCATATAAGTGAGATCCACATGGTTCAAAGTCGTATTGTTCAAAGGTCAACTATAGGAGGATCTTGACATTAACTGAAATCAAGGAAAATTAGTCTCAAATGATCATCATAAAGCAAGAATATTATTTAATGGGCATCAACAGGACTATTTATATTTTCTGCTTGCTATCACAGAATCTGTTTAAGTCACATCCCTAAAGTATTTTGCTTTACTCTAATGCTTATTTGTTAAACAAATCTCAGCTAAACTAGCATAGATTGCTTCATTTCTTCAATATAAAGCTTTATACAACAGGAATTGGATTTCTGCAGGAAATAACCTTCAAAGATATTAAAGTATCCTCATGTGTTTTTATCTTTATAGCTCCTGGGGGCTTTGTTTTTGAAATCTTAAAAGCTTTCTTCCTCTAAATTAATTTGTAAATGTAGAATGGAGCATGCCCATGTTCTAGTACTCCTATTTCTATTCTTCTCAGTACGGGGGTGGAAATTAAGTAAAATCCCATGGATGAGACTTTGTGGCTGGAAATGGAAGGAGACTAAACTGACAGTACTATTTGGTTTGGCCAGACATTCTAACAAGAAAAATCCAGCAGCCAGGAAAATGTTTTGGAAGAAGGACAAATTTAACATCGACCTTGACTGTGGTGTCACCAGAAAGGCATGCATTTCAGAAGACTTATCAGACCATCCCAGTATGGGATACCACAGAGGGAAGGAAGAAAACACATCTCAGTAGAAGGACAGTTTCCACTTCTCTACCTGTACTGTCATACGAATTCACAAATTCTTAGCATTCCTTCTGTGACCTGTGAGCAAACGATTTTACAACCTTTTCCTATATACCTGATGTCATCTCACAGAATGGTCTGGTTCACTGTTCCCAGACAGGATGGGCTATAAAAGAGTCTTGGATGGGGAAACAGGCTACACGCATGCCTCTTCAGAGGAGAGAGTTACTGCAGCTGTGAAAGGATCATTCCAGGTGCGAGGAAGACCCCGCACGGCAGAGGAGCACAGTGTCTGCAGGGAATGGGAACGCCTACGGAAGGAGGGGGAAGGGAAAGCATCGGAACTAATGGGGACACTCTAACAAAGAGCTGAAATTCAGAAATCCCAAGAGGCAGGCCGGGGGGAAGCGTGCCAACAAGGAGACAGGCTTCAAAAACCATGATATGACTGAGGCAGGACCTACTCCACCAGAAGAGGAGGAGGAATTTTAAGAATCAGTCATCTTCCTTGATGAGGGCTTGTCAGGCTGACCATATGTCCATGAACCCCAGATGAGTTTCAGAAAGCCCCGTAGAAGTTTATCAGACCCCAAAGCAACTGCTAAATAAGAGGCTATCAATTCAAACTAGGGGGTTTGAGGACTTATTGTTTGGCAAACAGGACCTGCAGTCAAGGCTGTCATCACAGTGAAAGCGCTCAGTCATGCCTGATTCTTTGTGATCCCATGGACTATACAGTCCACGGAATTCTCCAGGCCAGAATACTGCAGTGGGTAGCCTGTCCGTTCTCCAGGGGATCTTCCCAACCCAGGGATTGAACCCAGGTCTCCCACATTGCAGGCAGATTCTTTACCAACTGAGCTATATAAAGTTAAATTCTTGAGCCTGTGGTGTGGTCTCCAGTCCCTTAAACCCTTCGAGGTGAAGGGTTGGTCTTGGAAACGTGCGAAGAGGCCAGCAGAAAGGCAGCTGGCTCTAGCTGAAGGGACAGGAGTGAAGCAGGGATACAGAGTCTTAGCAGGGGCTAAGACTCTTCCTGGACTCTGCTCTGTCCCAGCTTCCCATCACCTTTAGGTAATCACTGATGGGTTTCATCAGGAAATAAAATTTCCAAATATATTTAGAAATGTATCTTCCCTCCTCCCTATCATCCACTAAATTAGGAATAGGGTATTTTATTGCTCATAATAAGTAGTTTTTTTTTTTAATAAACTGATATATGAAGAAAAGAGGGGTTAAATTATATATTTGATTTCCTATATATTTTATGATCAATACTCTATCATTTTGACTATAGAACTTACCCTTATTCATCACAGATGATACCTCATGAAAATGCCTTTTCAGGCAATATTGTAATATATTAAGGTATTACTAGGGAAAAAATGCCAAGAAAACGAAGTAAGTTTATAAAGACCAGCCACCTGTTCTTTTCTGCAATGCAGTTTACATTAGGGAATCCATTACTTTTTACACCGACTTAGGAAAATAAATGACTTCACTGGAAAGTCAGGCAGGTCTCCGCCTTGTAAGGAAGCAGAGTGGAACAAAGGAAGAAATACAGCCTTACCTTCTCTCCCTTCAACTAAAGATTTGGTAAATGGGTCACTTTAGCGGTGAGGTGTTTTCCCTTAGGTATATGTAATATACATGCTTTAATGTTAAATTTTAGGCTTTTTAAATAAACAGGCTATTTCAGAGCAGTGTTAGATTTACAGAAAAACTGAACAGAAATTAGAGTTCACACACACCCCCTTGGCCCTTACCCACACAGGTTCCCATTATTAACACCTTGCATCAGTGTGGTACATCAGTTACAAAATGATAACCCAAGATTGATACATTATTATGAAAGTTTACGGTTTACATTACAGTTCACTCTTGGTATTGGACCTGCTGTGGGTTTTGACAAACGTATAATGAATAACATGTATGCACCATTACAGTGTCCTATAGCTTAGGACATTTCATTGCCCTAAAGTGCTCCATGCTCCACCTACATACCCTTTTATTTTTAAAAACCATAATTGTCAACAGAAAAAAACTGCAAATTTTGCTTAGAAGATGTATTACAGCTACTATTTTATACAGAAAATAGATCTTACCGGTTCGACAAATTCAAACTTCTTTTTTTCCTGAACCTCTTGAATTTTAAAGACATATTCTAGTGATGCCTCATAGAAGTTCTGATGTTCTCGGTCAATCTGTGTATCTGCCTAAAAAGCACAAAAAGGCAAATCATGACATAGGGAGTGATTATTGAAGGTTTATGTTAGAGAAGAAATCAAATATTATTCTATTCTGAAACCTTTTTCAAAAATTAAGTCCTACAAAAAGTTTGAATATAGCAATTGTATCTTGGGAATACAAAGACTATGAAAACACAGTCCTTGTCGAAGAGAGCTTATAGTGTATGGAATGGGACGAAAACATACACACACAAACAGAGCAAACATCCAACACTCATTAAATTAAAAATTATTATAAAAGGGTATGTAAATCCATATGAAAATCTAAGCAACCACAAAAGAGAGTCTAAATTCTGGGGAAAGAAAATGGTGGTGTTCTGAGTTGAATCTTAAGATGAAGAACTGGCCATGAGTAGTCAAAGATAAAAAAAAAAGGGGCCACTCCCATGAAAACGTAAAGAGGGATGAAGAAGTCTGACAGAGTCTGCCTTCAGAGTAAGTGGAGGGAAGGACGCAGAGGCAAGGCTGGAATAACTACAAAAGATCCTGAAAACTGCATGTGGTGGTTTAGTCACTAAGTCCTGTCCAAGTCTTGCAACCCCATGAACTGTAGTCCGCCAGGCTCCTCTGTCCATGAGATTCTCCAGGCAAGAGTACTGGAGTGGGTTGCCATCTCCTTCTCCAGGGGATCTTTCCTACCCAGGGATTGAACCCAGGTCTCCCACATTGTAGACGCACTTTTTACATCTGAGCCACCAGGGAAGTCCCTGGAGATTCTAGTAGATACCATTTCACGCGCGTTGTTATGATTCGTTGCTGAGGGAATTAGGTCCAGTGTGAATTAAATCCTCTGGGAGAGGATTCTTAGAAGCTTGTGCCTGGTTCCCCTTAGATGTCAACAACTAAATTTACTACACAAATCTTCTGTGAAAGGTCATCTAGAATGCACGGTACTAAAAGAATACAATAGCTTAATTCTCTCTTTTTTTTCAGTGCCAGATTTAGAAAGACATTCTTTTACCTCAGATGAATTCCCATAGTCCTTGAGCTCACAGCATGTATCAGTTGCTGTATACTCATTAACAACTGTGGTCAAGTATTCTGTACTGGAGAAATAAGATAACTATGTAATTCATAGTCCAAACTTTTAAAACTGAAAGGGAATAGTAATTACTCCAGAGCAACAGATTGCTTAAGTAGCTGCTGATTATCTGGCAAGGTCATCCCAGTAAGAAACCAAGTTAGGTACATGAGAAAACCACACAGTTCAGCAGACCGCAGATACCTAAATTCCTCCTCACACACTCTAAGCTGTCTCAATTCAAAACAGAGGAAAAAGGGATAGTGAAAAAAACTATCACTCAGGTGAGAGCTGTTGATTTATTCCCAGAGGAAAAAGGATTTAAGCTGGATGCTGAGGAATGGAGAGGTTCAGAGAAGGTGGAGATAAAAGAAGAGTTTTAGTGAGGGACTAAAGCTAAGAGAGGTTATGCTCTGGTAGATGGTGCAAAGGGGTTTGTCTGAAACTGTCAGAGGTGAGAGCTGAGCCAGCTCAGAGAGAATGAGTACACACCTCATTCTCTGCATCTGGTAAACCAGGCAAGGACTGGAGGAAGGTGTGGTCAGGATCAGAGCTGGACTTCAGGAAGGTCAGAAGATTAGCGTGAGCGCAGTGTAGAATGTACTGATTCAACGGAGAAGCTGGGTGCACCTGAACAGAAGGGGACCTCTTACTTGATACGGGTAAAGGTGTTTGGTATATCCTAGTAAGACAAGCTTGAGGACGCGGGTGTGAGAGGCAAAGGGGGAAAAGTCGAAGATAATTTTGACACAAGAAATAACACCCAGCATTAACAGAATTAAAGACGTGAGAAGCAGGGTCAAATTGGAGAAAATGGGTGAGATTTCACACATGTCACTATGGGGTCGTAGTAACCCGTCAGTGGATAGTGTAGAGGTGGTCAGGATGGGAAGCACGGTGGGAAACACTCTCTGAGATGTCACAGACAATATGAAAGGAGCAGACTCTGGGGATGCAGAGAAGGACAAAAACCTGAGGGGTTACCTTCACTCAGGAGGTGGGCGAGGAGGTCCTGCTGAAAGCATCTTTACTTATAGATACTAATAGAAACCCAAATTCTTGGCTCCTAAAAGGAACCCCTATACTCTTCTAACTATAAAATTGATACATACTTATTACTATATTCATTGTTCATTATTATAACAGGGAAATGTAAAGATAATAAATTAGCTGCAGCCTCACTATAAATAGTTTGATGTACAACATGCACACAAAAAATTACTTTAAAAGACATGAATAATAGTATATATTCTGGTTTAAACCCTGTCATTCCACACTTAGGCTAACAAATATTCCCAAACGTCTTTAAATGCTTTTTCAAATAAAAGTTTCACAGTCATATCAATTCTGTTTTTGGCCAAGCTCTATTTGTGTATTTATCCCAATCATTCTTTTGTGCTATTTTGGATGTTTCTAAAATTTTTATTGTGAATAACTCTTGGATCAACATATTCACACAATTTATATTTATACTCATTTCTAATTATTTCTTCCAATCAAATTCCTATCAACAGAAATCATTTCAACTCTCTTGCTCATATAAGGTTGATTGAAATATGGTCAAATATACCTCAAAAGTTTTTGAATGATTTCATATTCCCACCAGAAAAGCTGTGTCTGCTCAGTTTCCCATACCTTCACTAACAATGGATATTATCTTTTAATAAATTAACATGCTGCTACTATTATTAAATTATACTTTCAAAATGTATGATATAGAAACTTACAATATTTATTATGGTTTATATTTTTTCTTTGATGAAATGCCCTTTCATATTCTTATTCCATTTTTTTTTTTCACTAAAACCTTATCTTTTCCACACTGATTTCCAAAAACATCTTATATGTAGGAGATGGTTGTCCTGTGTCATATAAGTACCCTAATGCTTCATCTTTTAATTTGATTTAAGGTCTTTTGAAAGAAACAGATTACTTTTATGCATTTTGGTCTTTCTACATTTCCTTCATGATCTCTTCCTCTTGGTTTATGCTTAGAAAGAAATTATCTATTCACATTTCAAATATTACTTCTTTTGGTCTACTGTAAAGTCCATAATTTTGACAAGTCTGTTTCCAATTCTGTGTACTCCAATGGTGCATCTAATAGATAGCCTTGGAGCTTTACCAACACAAGCTAACCCCTAATTCAGTCCTGATAATGGGTAGTCACTCGGGTTTCCATGAGCAAAATGAGCAAAGACTCAGCTGTGTCCTTGAGAAGGCTCAAAAGGGTCTTTCTGAGAACAACTTCATAGGCTTGGTGCCGACAGAAGGACCAGAGCTGCTCTGCAAGGGAACAAATGAATCTAATGCCATGTTACTGAATTAAACATGTGTGTAGCAGCATCTCCCTGTAACAGGTTTGACTCCTGGAAGGACCAAGGAAAAAGTAGAAAACAACCTACATTTTTCCTTTTCTATACTATATGCTCAGAGGAGTTGCTTTACACAGTATTTGTGTTGTATTTGTATTTGTATTGTATTCTATCATGGTCTGTGCCTCCTGGAAAAAAAAGTGTGTGTGTGTGTTTATGTGTATGCGTTTGTGTGGTGGGGCAAATGGAGGATGCTACTAACCATGTTACAGGTTTTTCTCCTAGCATCCAACTAAATATCAAGCCAGAATGAATATTCTATTCCGTCATATCCCAACGGATTAGGAGCCACTAACAAGTATGAAATATTGAGCTACACTGTCAGGGAAAATTAAAGCATAATCTCTAGAGGACTTTAAAATTATGACAGAGTTAGGAAGTCAAACCAAGCAATCCTAAAGGAAATCAGTCCTGAATACTCACTGAAGGACTGATGCTGAGGCTGAAGCTCCAATATTTTGGCCACCTGGTGATGAGGGCCGACTCACTAGAAAAGTTTCTGATGCTGGGGAAGATTGAGAGGAAAAGGAGAAGGGAGTGGCAGAGGATGAGATGTTTAGACAGCACCGCTGACTCAATGGACATGAATCTGAGCGAACTCTGGGAGATGGTGAAGGACAGGGGAGACTGGTGTGCTGCAGTCCACAGGGGTGCAAAGAGTCAGCCAGCTAAGGGCAGCCTCTCATAGTCACCAAGAATCTGGTAACTCTTCAGAGACTCTATGAATTACCCTTGATTTGGAGGCAGTCAAGTTTTAAAATGTGCCTGGGCCTTGTCTTTGGTACATGATGGTGACAACCGGGGGAGCCTTTTCTACAGATGACTTCGTCTACATATTGCATTCTCTCTCAGGTTTATTCTAAGGCAATGTTTAAAAGTTTAAATAGACATGCATTTAAGAAGTTTAGAATATGTGAACACAATATTAAAGAACAACACAGTACACTACAAGATTAAAAATGTTCATGAAAATTAAAAATATAATTTCTCTTAATAATCTTAATAGATTTTTCTCCACTTTATGTTAGCCCCAAAATCTTTCCATAGGCACCCAACTGTCTATTAAATTATCCTATTTTAATAGCAGGTATTAATAATAAGTTATTCATTACAGTGAAATACAAATCTTTCCAACGTTCAACATTTTAAGTGAGGAAATTCAATTCCCTCTAGGGGAACATAAAAATACAGTAAAAAGGAATCAGAAGTAACTCTTCCATGCCTTTTGACTGCAGTTCCACTGCACTTGAACTCATTAAGCATGCCTCGTGGCTGAACACGAAGGTCAGAGAAGTAAGAATAGGAGTAAGTAGGGCAGAGCACCAAGCTGAACTTGAACAACAGTTCAGGAAGGAAGGTGACTTTGCTAGGGAATCCAAATGAGACATTTGAAAGAGTTCAGCAATGCAATCCCTAGAAATACAGAGACGAGATGGAGAAGAGACTGAAGGAGGCTCAGGACCCTGCCACCATTCCCTGGGTCGGGCTGGGGGGAGTGACAGCTGCAGGGGACCCAGCTCAACGACTCCCGGTTCAGCTTTGAGACTCACCACTGTATGCTGGGGGGAGTGTAGATGGTGAAAGACCACAGAGCCATTTAGAAAAACGAACAAAACATATGCTATCGCTAGAGTGAAACTGCATCACTCCTCAGTAAAAGAATTTTCTAGCTGGCTAACTATAGTTAAAATACTACCAGTGAGAAGAGCAAATTTTCAGGAAAAAAGGAAGAAATGCATTCCTTGTATGAGAACACTGTGTACATTAGTAAAATATTTCTGTTGACTTGTTTAAATTGACAAAAAATAATGAAGATATCAAAACATGTAACTGTATATCTTTTCTCCCTTAATGCTGATGTAGCGATTGAAGAACAGATATTTTTAACTTAATATAAATGTTACAACATGAATTTGGTAGGTCTTGCTATTTAGAATGGCTTCCTAGGTGGCTCAGTGATAAAGGATCTCCCTGCCAAGCAGGAGATGCACGTTCAATCCCTGGGTTGGGAAGACCCCCCAGAGAAGGAAATGACAACCCACAGCAAGATTCTTGCCTGGGAAATCCATGGACAGATGAGCCTGGCGGGCTACAGTCCATGGGTTCACACAGGAGTAGGGCATTAAAATATGCCCAACAGGAAAAAAAAGAAATAGCCTTGTTTCACTCTTTTTCATTATTGAAGGAAATACTAATCTTTCTCTTGGGACTGTTAATTTTAAATGTCACAAAGCATGTAAAATGCTTAGCACCCTGCCTGTCTATCTATAGTAAATGCTCAATTAGCTTAAATTTTTTTATTTTTTTTTCATTTATTTTTATTAGTTGGAGGCTAACTACTTTACAATTAGCTTAAATATTCTTATTATCATTATTTTATGAAACAGGAGCAGATTCTGAGATAAAGTCTACTTTTGGAAATCTGGACTTCACATGACAATGCTAATGCTCTTTTCACATTTCAGCTGGAAAAACTTACCTCTTGCAAATGAGATTCCTTTTTCTTTGCAGACAAATTTAAATGTTTGTCAAGAATGGAATAGTATTTTTCACTCTCTTTGTCAAATTTCTTCTTTCCATCCTAGGAGATCACAAAAACAACAAAACATTCACATCAGAGAATCAAGATAACCTTGATTTCCATCATTCCCATCAAGCATCCAATAAAATTATTTAATAAAGATTCAGTGAGCCTCAACTATGTGGAAAACTTGATGAAGTGGGAAGAAGGATATGAGGCAAAATCATCTGAGTATGTATTCTGCTCTCAAAGAAGTTCATAGAACTACAGTCTGGAGGGGGCAGGCTGCTTATAGTAGCATCCCGTTGAGCACACTATAACTGATTCTCAAAAAATTCTGACCTAGAAGTCTGGGACATAGCCAAGAGAAAAATGTCTCTTTTAGGCTTTTTTGGTGAGTCAGATGAGTTAACATACAAACAGTTTATAGAGATCACTCACAAACTCTTTGCAAGGAATCATAATATTTCCCAAGTCACAAAAAAAGATGCCTGATATTTCAAACAAGTCATTGTCTTTTTTTTTTTTTAAGTAGAAGAAATTTTTTTTTTCCATTTATTTTTATTAGTTGGAGGCTAATTACTTTACATCATTACAGTAGTTTTTGTCATACACTGAAATGAATTAGCCATGGATTTACATGTATTCCCCATCCCGGTCCCCCCTCCCACCTCCCTCTCCACCCGATCCCTCTGGGTCTTCCCAGTGCACCAGGCCCGAGCACTTGTCTCATGCACCCAACCTGGGCTGGTGATCTGTTTCACCCTAGATAATGTACATGTTTTGATGCTGTTCTCTTGAAACATCCCACCCTCGCCTTCTCCCAGAGTCCACAAGTCTGTTCTATACATCTGAGTCTCTTTTTCTGTTTTGCATATAGGATTATCGTTACCATCTTTCTAAATTCCATATATATGTGTTAGTATACTGTAATGGTCTTTATCTTTCTGGCTTACTAGTAGAAGAAATTTTTATGGGCTTTCCAGGTGGCTCAGTGGTGAAGAATCCACCTGCCAATGCAGGAAACACAGATTTGACAATCCCTGGGTTGGGAAGATCCCCCGGAGTAGGAGATGGCAACCCACTCTAATATTCTTGCCTGGGGAATTGCAGGGACAGAGGAGCCTGGTGGGCTGCAGTCCATGGGTTTGCAAAAGAGGCGGACACAACTTAGTAACTAAACAACAACAAGAGAAGGGGAAATAGGGAGGGGCTATTATAAACAAAAAGTCCACTGGAGGAAATTGGGAGTTTGAGGTATAGTGGCTTTTCACTGGCTTAGTTAAGACAGTTTCACATTGGCTGAGTGCTCAAACAGCACATTCTTGATAAAAAGGAAAATACATCTTCACCAACTGGTGGTGTGAAATAATTAGATCAGTTCAAAGTCAAATCAAAAGGATTAGAATCATCTGCATCATACACTCGACATAACTTAATAGCTGACCTTTGCAATGCTAAAATGACATTGTTTTATGGGTACAATTGTAACCAGGCTAGCCTTTTGTTGGAAGAGAATACTTTACCTTTCCCCTAAGGCTTACTTCTATAGAAATGCAAACAGAATACAGTTCTAAAGAGAACAGGGCATGCCTAGACATATGATCTTCTCCAACTATAAATATGCTATCCACCAGGTATGATTTTTCCATTTATGAGTCCATATGAAATAAACACTACATGACCACACTCATAAATTTCCCTGGCCAAAGAAGTACTACTCCTTCCTTTTATCTCAATGTTTCTTGATGTGCAATGTCTGGACCACATTAATCAGAGTTAAGTATTTTAAAGGCTACTCAAAACATAGATTCCTATTTCCCTTATACAGAGATTCAGACAGCTCTTTTTAAAAAGCTCTGTGATTATTATGGATAAAGCTTTTCATTTATTTGAATCAGTAAATATTTGGAGGAGATTAATTAAAAATAACAGGGAATGGATGGATGAGGAGAGGAGAGGAGACTCTGGGGGGAAGTGGGGAAGAGAGGAGAAGACAAGTAGGCCTCTGGTCTGTCTGTTTCACAACTCAGGTTGTCAGCTCCAGACTAACAGATGAAGGTATTCTATTCCGATCCAGTAGCACTCAAAACTTTTATCCACTCAATCATATTTCCAGAAACCCATCATGATCTAGTTGCATGGATGGAACTTTAGAAACTTAACTGGTAAAGTTGCATTGAATGAAAAAAACAAGTAGGGTTCTGCTGCAAATGTTCTAGACCTTTGAAGAAGTGCAGGGATGTGTGTGCACTGCTGTATTATACCTGGAAATAAGGCAGGGAGTCACATCTTCAGAGGATTTTTATCATTTAAGGAGAAAATGTCTACTAGGCGAGACACCATTGGAAAACACCAAGCGGCATCCCCACCCAGAAAAGGCCCCTGGGGGACTTGCACAGCAAAGTGTGGAGGAGACGCCGGAAGGAGGCAGACAGGACCAGGCTCAGCCGGAAGGAGGCAGACAGGACCAGGCTCAGCTCGGGAGGCCTCGTCCCTCCACCGTGAAACAGACCGGAGTGAGCATTCCATTGTCCGCTCCTGAACCTCGCATCTTGTGCCCACAGCTGAGCTGCTCAAGCAATCTTCTCAAAAGCCTCTCTCGTTAGCCATTCAGAGCCCCTGTTCTTGGCACTCTACAGACTATATATATAAATGCTTATTTCTTCTAACACAGCTTCAAGTTAGAGCTACTCTGAGCATCCAGCTTAAACAGACCTCATTCACAAGTCCGCTTCATCAGTCTCCTCTGCTTGTAACTGTTCATCTAATTTTATATATGGGTCTCTTATGGTGTTCAAGCCCTACACTGCAGCAGGGAAATGCATATCCTAAATTTACATCCTGTATATATATAAATATATAATTAATATAATAATATATTAATATTGATATATATTAATATAAATATTTATATTTAAATAAACAAATAAATTATATATATATCCTACGCTTCTTAAAATTAAAATTTTGAGAGAGTGCTCAATAAATATTTAATGAACGTGCAAAATTATTCCTCTTGTAACAGTGGGCATTACAGTCCCTCACAAACATTCCATTTGATCAAAAAACCGATATCCATGATCCAGGGGGCAATTCTGCACAAACGGCCTCAATTCAGTCCCTGTGATACATGAGCACTGTAGGGGGTGGGGGGCGACCAGCTGCCTTAGAGACGAGGACAGGAAGCTGACACACGTTCATCTTACAATAGGGAGCTTAAAAGTTCTCAGTGTGTGCAGAAGAGACTAGATGGGGGAGAAGGGAGCACAGCTGTGGTAACTACACTTGCATCTTTGTTTTTCAGTGTTTGCTGGCATTATCGGAAATGTTAACTCAGTGCCAGCATACCAGCATTCCTGGCAATACAAAAATCATTCCCAGAAGAACTTCCTGGACTCCTAATCAAACCCTGGCACTTCATACCACCAGGCCAACAAAAGAGATCTACTCAAAGGTTCCAGTGATGCAGAGAACACAGACACACTCAGTTCCAGTATAAAATTAAAGAGCTGAACCGAAAGAGGAGGGCACATGAAGGACAACTATAATCTAGGGAACCATACTCTTGAAAACAGAGAGCACTTCTTGTGACTCACATTTCCTCCCAAAAGCCATGATTTACTCTCATGTAAGTCAGGTCCTATTTGGTTTTAGTAACTTAATACCACAGAGCTATCGATTGTCTATTGTGTTACTTGTGGATATCAAGCTAAGAATCTTCTCCGAAACCAGTGCTGCAGAAGGAAGGGAAAATAATGCACAAATCTTTACGCTAAATGCCGTATGTGATTACTGACTTCTCATCGTCATAACATGATTCAAATAAATGGAGATTATGTTATAATGGTATGACGTTTTATACAGATCCACAAGAAGTGCATCTGAGCCACGTAATCATGTGCAATGAAGTCATATATATGCGTGATATGTTTATATGTGTATATTATAAAATCTTTAAAAAATGCCATCAAAAATGGCAAGTTAATCCCCAAACCCAATTATGATGGCAAATGTGTAAGATAAGTTCAAGGTCTGTAATCAATGTGTGTTCCAAGCTATCCTGCATTTACTCTGAGCACATGATCACATTATTATTTAGCATCTAAGATTAGCAACTGAGGTTGTGCTGCACTTTCATCATATCCCCTGAGCTAAGGAATGGCAAGAAGACTCCCAGTCTTAAAGTTGTGATATATAACAAACAAACAGGCAAAAAATAAGTCAAATACTCATATAGGTCTATCACAAGTTATATGCAAATGTTAAATACAAGGTCAAATCAACACCTTCTATTGACCACAAGAGGATACCAAAGGTGAACAGACTCTACCACAACACCTAGAAAGTCACAAACAGAAATATTTCAAACTTTACCCAATTGTTTTTTCTTTATAACAGACAACTGCAAAGCTTTGTTTAAACAACTATTTTAGCAACCTTAATCTTAACAATATCATGATCAATTGTTTTTAAGTAGAGGCAGTGAAAAAATATTTTCTCATTTTCTTTTAATGGAGCACACATTTAGAATTCATATATCCAATTTTTAAGACAATTTCAAGGTTATAATTGCCACACAGGATATTGCACAATTTTCCATGCAACTATTATGTTGCCATGTTAGTACAGCCATTAGCTAAATAAGCACTAAACATATATTTTTAAAATCCTTTTAAGTGAGTGCACAGTAGCAGAAATAGTCATGTAAAGAGTAATAATAAATACCAATAGATAAATTTCTATTTCACAAATGCATAATTCTTATATAATGGCACTGTGCTAGGCATTGAGAGGACAAGATATAACCCTGACTAACAATCTTGGCTAGACTTCCTCCTTCTCTGATAGTGGGATTTCCTCACTGCTCAGAAGAGTAACCTAGGGTGACATCATTTCTAAGTATCAGAATGAACAGCTGCTTGGATATTCCTTAGACCCAAGAGATTCCTGGTATCCAGAAACTCAGGTTGTTGAGACCCTTAATACAGCTTTCACAACCATGTTCCAACTGCGGTGACTGCACCCAACCATTCCCCACCATGTCCCTCCTCCTCAATCTGCTGAAATATAGACATTTCAAAAAGGGCTTCTTTCTGCATAGCTGCACCAGTATAATTCACCGTATCTTCCCCATTCCTATTATCTTACACTACCACCACTAGGTGGTCAGATTCATAAGAGCCAAAGGTTTCATATTTGCCTATATGAGCAACTCCTACAAAATGAAAAGATAGAAAAAAAAATAGATAAAAATATAGATGAAGGATGTCAAGGGATAACAGAAGAGGGAAGTCAAAAGGGTAACAAGCATATAAAGAGTTTTTCAAAGTCATCAATAATTAAGAAAAAAGCAAATTAAAATATTGAGATGTCCCATTATATGTATCAGATATTGGTTGGCAAGAGCTATAAAGGTGAATAACACTACATGTTGAATGCATGTAGAAACACAGGAACTCATAAAGGGCTACAGCCTTTCTGAAGAGAAATGTTGCATTCAACATTTCCAATTGGTATAAATGTGTGACCTAAAAACTAGCTTCTGGGTGGTGCACATCCCGGAAATATCCTCACAGAAAAGTCCATAAGGAAACATGAAAGAGGATCCGTCTGGGACAGGAAGATAGCCGGGTATTTACTGGTGAATATAAATGCATTAGAAGCACACCACAAAGTCGCAGGCATGAAGTAAATCCTACAAATAGATGGATCTTAAAACATAATTCTGAGTGAAAACCACTAAACACAAAATAGGGAAATAACACAAAATCATTTATGTAAATTGAAGACATGAATAGAAAAATAATATTAATTTTTAAGACAAATATATACACATTAAACTTATGAGAATGGCTGCTGCATAAGAAAGAAAATGTTAATGAGATATGAGTGAAAGAATAAAACAAAAGAGCTGTGAACTAAAAAAGAAAAGAGATGAGAACAGATAAGAGAATTAGGAGATTAATCAGGAAACCCAACATCTGACTAACAGAAGTACTGAAAGAAAAATGAAGGGAGCAATTACCAAAAAAAAAAAAAATTCATGAAAATTTCCAAAACTAAAAAAAAAGAATCCATATTAAAATGACACAATATATACAAAGCACAATAAATGAGAAAATACCTGCAAGATATATCATACACTATTACAAAACCATAATTAAAAATGAAAAATCTAAAAACAGAGTTCGAATAAACATCATCAGAAACCAATGAGTTCACAACACAGGAAGTTATAAACCAAAGTGCAGTGCCTTTAAAATTCTGAGGAATAATGAATTCCAACTCTGATTTCTATATCCAAATTGTCAATCTAGATTCATGGTAGTACAAAAGTATTTACAAACATACAGGGTCTCAAAATTGCTACTGCTGCTAAGTCGCTTCAGTCGTGTCCGACTCTGTGCGACCCCATAGACGGCAGCCCACCAGGCTCCCCCGTCCCTGGGATTCTCCAGGCAAGAACACTGGAGTGGGTTGCCATTTCCTCCTCCAAATCATGAAAGTGAAAAGTAAAAGTGAAGTTGCTCAGTCGTGTTCGACTCTTAGTGACCCCATGGACTGCAGCCTACCAGGCTCCTCCGTCCATGGGATTTTCCAGGCAAGAGTACTGGAGTGGTTGCCACTGCCTTCTCTGGGTCTCAAAATTATTAATATTTAAAATTTTGTACCATTTTCCAGAAAGATACTAAGGGATGTGCTCAACTAAAATGAAGGAATAAACCAAAAAAAAAAATCAAGACATAAGACCTAGGAAAACAACAGTTCAAAGAGGCAAAGAAAACTCCCAAGAAAATGGTAATATGACCTTCCATGAAAACAGATGGACAAATAAGCCTATGAACTTTAAAGCAGCAGTTAAGTTTAGAGTCCCAGGAGGGATGTGTCTTTAAAAAATCTGGAGAAGACATACAATGTATACAAATGTACCAAGATGCATTTTGCAATTACATAAATGCATTTGGGAACAGATTTTTATACAAAATTTAAAGGTAACTATTAACTCTTTTATGTATATATGTGTGTATATATAAGTGAAGTAAATGGCAGCAATGGTACAAGGACAAAAGGAATTTTGTTATTCTCAAGTATTTGCACTACCCGTGAAACAGTACAACATTATCTAAAGAGAATTTGGATTAGTTGTAAATGTACATTTCAAATGTACAAATTTATAAATGTACAAATGGATGAAATAGGGAAAAAGAGAAAAAAAAGATGAGAAACAGAAAGAGTGGGAAGCGGAGGAACTTACAATGCCACTTTACGGCAACCATTAATGCTCTCAAATGTTTTTAAAAAGTATAATTGATATGGTAAGCAAGCAGAGAAAATGAAATCATATAAAGTACACAATTAAGATCACAAAAGGCAGAAAAATAGTGGAAGAAACAAATAGAAACAAAGAAGGGCAAAAAGTAGAAAACAACAGAAAATACAGTAGACATTAATCCAACTATATCAATCATCACTTTGAGGGTGAGTAGTCAAAACCCACTGATGAAAACACAGACATGGTCATAGTGAATCCAAAAACCAAGACTCAACTCCATGTTTTCTATAAGAAACCAACTTGAAATGTGAAGGCACATATATGTTAAGAGCAAAGACATAGAGAAAGATAAACTTTGCTAACACTAAAGAAGAGATAGCAGGAGTAGCTATATTAATGTCAAATAGATCAGATTTCAAAACAACAAAAGTTATTGGGGATAAAGAGAGAGGATTACATAATGCTTAAAAGGTCAGTTCTTCAAAGACAATGCTGCTACTGCTGCTAAGTCACTTCAGCCGTGTCCGACTCTGTGTTACCCCATAGACAGCAGCCCACCAGGCTCCGCCGTCCCTGGGCTTCTCCAGTCAAGAACACTGGAGTGGGTTGCCATTTCCTTCTCCAATGCATGAAAGTGAAAAGTGAAAGTAAAGTCGCTCAGTCATGTCCAACTCTTAGTGACTCCATGGACTGTGGCCTACCAGGCTCCTCCATCCATGGGACTTTCCAGGCAAGAGTACTGGAGTGGGTTGCCATTGCCTTCTCCATCAAAGACAATAATAATTCTTATTATGTATGCAGAGCATACACATACATTAATGTGTATGCAGAGCATAAGAGCAGAGTATCAAAATACGGGAGGCAAAGACTGATAGAACTTCAAGGAGAAACAGATAAATCCACTGTCATGGATGAAGACTTCAACACTCACGTGCTAGCAATGAACAGATCCAACAGGCAGGAAATCAGTAAGACCACAGCTGAACTCAACAGCACCATCAACCAACTGGATATAATGGTGTTCATTCATGAACAGCAGATTATATATTCTTCTCAAGCTCACATCAAACATTTACCAACACAGACTATACACTGTGGGCCATAAAATACATCTTGGCAAATTTGAAAGAATAGAAATCATTCTCAGAGCACAATGAAATAAACTGGAAATCAATGACAGAAAGATAGCTGGAAAATCACAGAATACTTGGAGATTAAACAAGCTTGTAAATGACACATGGGTTAAAGAAGAAATCTGAAAAGAGATATTTTAAAAGCAGTTTGAACTTATTGAAAATTAAACATTAAAATGTGTAGGATGTAGCAAAATCAATGCTTATAGGGAAAATTACTGCACTGAAAAACATTAAAGAGAACAAATGGATGAAATAGGAAAAACCAGAAAACAAGATGAGAAACAGAAAAGAGTGGGAAGCAGAGGAGGAACTTATGATGCCACTTTAGACCGTGGGAGAGACAGAGAATGCTACTGAAAGT